CAGCAACCACCTGTGGAAGGAAGCTATGGTAATCTACTACTGTAAAGATTTATAGTATTAGATACCCACCGGGATCAGTTCTACTCTGTCTCATAGAATTACTACAGGTTAGAGTCAACTCAACGGTGATGACTCTTTTTAGTTGCTATTAGTGTTACCAATATGAGTTCAGATCTGTTGTTCAGAGGTCACTATGAGTCATTCTTGACTTGAGAGCACCTAAAAACAACCACAACAATGTTGTCAAATTCAACTACTTCATATGCTTGACTCTGTGTTTCCATCCTCCTGAATGTGCATGCTAGGGGAGTAGAACTTGTTTATATTCTCTCTGGGATCTTCAGTATCCAAGTAGATACTGCCCTGTGACAGATGCTCAAAAGAAACTGATTAATGGGTGAAGCTGAAAGACCACTGGGCTTGGTGTCAGGAGATAAAAACGCTAGTCCCAACCCTGGCACAACTACTGAGTCAGCTATGTCACTTCTCTGAGGCTCTATTTCTTCATCCTAAAGATGATGTAACCTGAAGATCCTGCCAACTCGAAAAATTCTATGACATTTTCCTGTTGGCCAAGATCTCAGAGCTATTTTTTTGTCTGATACTCTCAGAACAAGTGGGAAATGACAGCCTCTTTCAGGCTGACAGATATTGAACCTTTGACAGGCCCTGCCAGGTTCTTAATCACCAAGCAGAGCACATAGAAATCAGTTTGAAAAATGGCTGCATCATTACAACTTTGGAAAAAACACTTAGAAGTCTTTTGGCCTGATCTTTTTCCTTTGCTTCAGTGACACCATAGCTTCTACAAAACCTGGGCTAAGTGGTTTGCTTGACTGTCTCCAGGGACTTGGGAATCACTGCCTGATGAGACGATAACTTTGTGCAAGTAATTCCTTTGAGTTTCAAGCCAGGAATAGTGAGCCTGTGACTGCTAATCATTAGCTCTAATTCTTTCCTCTGAGGCTGCATGGAAGAAATCTCTTCCCTTTTTTTTAGTTGCTCCATTCTGGACTTCAGCCCATCTACTTCCCAAATCCTCTTTCAATTTCTCCTCTAGTCATGTAAATGAATACTATTCTGCTAAGTGTAGAGGACAATTGAATGAGCCGGGGAGGAAAATTGAGGAGAATAATATTCTATCTCGGGACCTGTCACTAACTGACTCACAGTTTGGGACTGGATAAGTAACTTCTCCTGTCTTAGGCTGGTGTGGCCTTCTTTAAAAATGGGGGAATGGAATGGGGTAGAACAGAAAACATGTCTCAGAGCTTGGAGGTTTTAAATATGTTCTTAGAAATGGACAAGGAATGAATGTGACTTTTCTGACCCACATTCTTCCCACTTAACAAGGGCTTATCATTCCACTCAATTCTTTCCAGATCAAGTTGCCAATGGTGCAATAGCTATTAATACACAGGATAATGATTTGCACTTAAAAAAGAATACCTGTAAACAATGCGGAACCATTTCCAGATCTCTGGACCCAAGGATAGCTAGAAATCTTGAGGCAAGAGATTTCTGAATGAATTTTGCAAGGTACAGAATAAAAATAGTCCAATCCTTGAGACTTAATCCTCAGTGTCACAATCATGGAAACACAATTGTGAAATTACTTGGGGAAATACCTTGCAAGAGAATATTGGCAGTGTCTGTGTCTCATGCTCAGTGATCTAGATGGATTTTTATAATTGACGAGCATAGAGGTGGAATTTCCTCTGAGTGACGTCGCTTGGATTGAAATGGGGCCAAGCTGTAGACCAAGCCCTATTAGTGAGCTGAACCAGACACTTAACAGGATGTAAACAATGTGCCTTTCCCTAACTTACTGTACCTTAGTAAAAGAGAATTTGAATTATTAATAGCTTGAATGATTCTGTTTATTAAATGAAATTAAATTACCATGTTAGGCCAAGAATATACGTAATCCCATACCTTTTGATCATGATTCCTGAGTTTGCTGGGAGAGGGAGCTTTTCTTAATATCTTTGTGGCGTCTCTGGGTCAGCCATAAAGTCCAATAGTTTCAGGAATACTAATGACCAAAATGGGATTCAGCAAGAAATAACCTTTCTCGACCTGTGGCTTAGATAATGGCTCCTATCCTAAAAAGTATATGCATTCATTTCCAAAGCAACTTGCCTCTTTAAACTCTATGAACTAAGAGAAATGGTGATAGTTACAGAACGGGGTTTATGTCTTTTGTTCATAGTGTTGCTATGAGTTGTGCTTGACTCAACAGCAATGAACAACAACAATCCTAAAAAGTGTTAATGTTCTCTTTCCTCCTCCTTTTATTTATGGAAAATTACCCCAGAGTAGCCATGTAAGAAAACATTTATAGTAAACACAAATCATTTTGTTAACGACCATCCTTCATCAAATGGCATCCATTTTCATAATGAAAAAATATCCATATGCCCAAAGTTAGCTAATGAATTAGCTAATCGAACAAAAGTAAGTGAGACCATTGGCAGACAATGGAAGTGCTTGGCAAATAGGAAAAACACATTCCAAACAGAAAGAATTTATTTCTGTATCCCCAGAGCACTTAACTACTCACTAAATGCTTTTGGAGTTTATTTGAATTTAGCCTCTGGAGACATATTAAACTAGTATTTTCCTCTAAATTGAGTGTTTTCTAAAGTATGCTCCTTGGCTCCCCTTCTCAAACCCTTGGATGTGTCCCATTGACATCTTTTGGTGGCCTAGTGGGAAGGCAATTATGCTGCGAGCCCTGAGGTGGAGGGTGCTGTTAAATTAGAACCAACTTTAAAACAGTGTGTGTGTGTGTGTGTGTGTGTGTGTGTGTGTGTGTGTGTAAGTAAGTGTGTAAATACACAGAAAAATATGTTGTTGTTGGATGCCAAGGGAGCTGGTCATCTTGTCATGCAAAATCTTTTCTGCACTTGGATCCTGCCACATCCAGTATAGACAAGTACATTTTCTTTTCTTTAAGTTGTGTGTGTGTGTGTGTGTGTGTGTGCACGCGCGCGTGCACTGATCATTCACTGTGAAAACATTTCAAGTCTCTTCTAAGTACTGTTCTAAGAATTTCTTGAACCATCATTATTGAGAAAGTTTCCGTTTCTGGTTTAAGGAAAGGGTAATTCCTCCCTCTGAGATGGCCTTTCCCTCGTGGCCATCTAGTGTTTGCCCACTTCTTGGAGGATGCACTTAAGTTTCACTTCCTCTGTGAAGACTCTTCTGCACCTCAGGTGAAGTGACCCATCCTGGCTGTACCCCCACTTCATCCTCGGCTGACTGAAGAAGCTGAAGTAAGAAAGAGGACTGCTTAAAGTCACCTAGGGAGGGTAGGAATATGCTTACAGCCTTAACTTCTGCAAGAAGAAGCTGGTAGTTAATTTTTATTTAATTACAATGCAACAAACATTGCATCTCACTAGGCCTAGCCACTGTCCTCAGTAGCCAGGTCACATACTTCTTTACCCCTGCAGTCTTTTGGTAAGAGTTAGGAGTGACTTTCTGGGCCAACTTTGCTCCTAGAGACTCATCCCTAAAGTTTCTTATGATAGTAAATATCGATACTGGAGGCCAAGGTGCTGGAGTTTATTCCCTACATCATTATGAAATGCTTGGAGATGATACAAATTGCTTGACATGAACACATTTAAATTCCCATGATTTTTATAGTAATCCTTGGAAGCAAACCGGAGGAATGAACAATTCTTGTTTTATAAACAAGTCCACAGAGGCTAAGAGAACAGAAGAGCCTCTCTCACAGCCAGTACTGGAAAGCTCTGTGGTTGTGGGAAAAACATATAGACTTGCCAATACAAACCCACTGAAGTGCATGCGGGACCTTCTCAAGGTAAAGCCTCTCTTCCAGGGAAGGGACTTAAGCTGGGTTCCATAGTTAACTCCATATTTAAATTCCTTTGATTATTTTAAGGGAAAAAATATCCTATAGTACACTCAGCATATAAAGTTGTAAATCAAATCTCAAAGTAGATCTGAGTTACCATCTTCAGATTTGGTGATTTACTTTTCTC